GCCGCTAAAATAAACGGACAAGATTGATCAGGTTCTTCGTGCTCCACAGGGAATCACGTTTCTCTCTTCCTTTCTCTGCCCCCTGAATCTTACAGTACACCGGTTCATTTCCCATTCAAATCTCAGAAGAGAGAGATAAAGAGGGGGGAGAGAGAGAGAGAGAGAGAGAGAGAGAGAGAGAGAGAGAGAGAGAGAGAGAGTCTGAAAACAGAGAAAAATGGCGGACGAAGAAGAAGCAGAGCTAAGTGAGAAGCAGAAGAAAGAGATAGCAAAGTGGTTCCTCCTCAACTCTCCCCCCGGAGAAATCCAATTCGTCGCTAAAGGTCTCACCTTTCACCCCAAAAGCTTCACATTTTTCTCTAATTTTTATTTAATTTCGTAAAATTTCAATTTTTGATCGACCATGCGAATCGCATTCTGTATTTGATTTTCTCTTCTGGGTTGGCAGATGTGAAGGCGGTAATCAACGACGACGTTTTGTACGAGGAGGCTGCGTCGGAGGCCTTCCCACTGTACAACAAATCCCACTTGATTTCCATCGAAATGCCGGGCCGAATCGGCGACGTAAGTTTTCCTTTTTACTTTTTCGAATGAAATATCGGCATTGCGAAGGATTTTCGAGTTCCCAATTTGTGAAATTTGCAAACTTTAATTGCCTTGTTGATGTATTTTTGGTTCCAGAATCTGAAAATATATGGGGTTTTGTTTCTGTTTGTGAGAGCAGGTTATAGTTACATCATATGGTGAGGTCGGTGAGACCGAGTTCATTGATCCCAGGACAGCTCAAGTTGCTGTAGTTAACCACACTAAACAGGCAAGTGTTTTTATTTTTCTTCTGATATACGAATCCGATGATGCAAGCGACAATGGTAAAGAATGTAGTTTCTGTAATTTAAATTTTAGGAAAATGGTAGTTTTTTTATACAAGCGATAGTGGGGAAGTGGGAATCTAACTGGGATCTCGGGTGCAAGGATGAATGCTCTTGACCACCTTAGCTACAAACCCTATGCTATTATAATGTAAAATTATTAGTAAAGCATGAACCTTGGAAAGGGCATAAGCTGATCTTCCATCTCACTTATGGGGAAGATCATGATGATAGAAATCAAGCATCCATGTATTTGTTCCGTTATGATATTTGTCACCCTTTATTAGCTTTTTCGTTTAAATTGGTACCAATTATTTCATTAAAATGTGCTAAAATTGGTTCAGGTTTGTACAGAGGTGAGACCTGCTCTGGATGAGGAACTTCCATCCGCATATGTTGAGGAATTCCGGTATGCTTTATTTTCTGTGAAACTTTACACACGTTTTTTCACTCCTTTGAAGTTTGAACTGAAATGAGCATTTGTATGCTCCAAGATATTTGGCTCTGCTTATGTTCATGTGCTTATTCCAAGTATTTGGCATGGGAATAGTTTAACATTAATCCTGTAGGAACTACTACTTTATTAATATTGAGTTACCAAACCAGTAATACTTTTACCAAAGAAAGTTAATATTTGAGTAGTGCCCTTTCCATAATGGCCTAGACAGAACTATGCAATATATGTGTTACTTCTCGTCCAGTTATCTTCATAACATGCTCGTTGAAGAAGGAAACAAATATAAAAAATTATTGGAAACTTGTGGAAGCAACACACAAATAGAACCACAGCTGTTTTCATGTCAGTCGTGTGTGCATGTGTATATTGGTGTGCTTGTGTCTGTGGGAGTTTGGTGGGCTTGTGCATAAGTTAATATTCTTTCCTTTCAGGTGTGCTCTGGATGCAGAAATACTTAAATATGTTGGTGAAGCTTATCCAAAAGGAGTCTGCTCAGTGTACTGTGGCAATGGTAAAGGTGTGGAGGGCCCTGGATTTGACTTTGAGCTTGTAGTGGTGATTTCAGCTGCTAGACACAGCCCACAAAATTTCTGGTATGTGAAATTAGTGCTGTTCCCTACCCGCGAGCTTGTTTATTTCTCTTTAACATTTGTATTTCAGTTGGAACAGATGTACTACTAAAAAAATCTGTCTTGTTATTATACCAGGTCCTTTCTTAGTTACATGAAAGAAGAAAATGTTGATTTTCCTTTTCCTGCCTTTTTTTATGTGGGAATCTTCTGATATAAGTTTATTTGTCATGCCGCGTAGTAACGGTAGTTGGCGTTCTGTATGGAGCATTGAGTTCAAAGATGAAATACAAATGCTGGAATTAAAAGGCAAACTGCAGGTATTTCATATGTATTTGGCTTTCAGTATGGAGCATTGAGTTCATAGCTTAAGCACCTAACCAAGAAGGAACTGTTTCTCATCCATGCTCTTCTATTCTTCTCCTTCTTTCAGGTGGGTGCCCACTATTTTGAGGAGGGCAATGTGCAGTTAGATGCAAAACATGAATGCAAGGATACAACAATTTTTCAGGTTGATGTTACGATATCTATCTCTGGTTATTGTCATTTTTATTTTTGTGTTGCTTTTGGTGATCTATCATACAAGGTCATTGTACCTTCCCTTATTTTGAACCCTAGGGCTCGTTTGGTGTAATCCCCTCAAAATGAAAAATCATCCGCCACAGCTTTCAAAATACATTGAATTTAGAGGGTTATCCATAATCCAATCATCTCCACCAAATGAGGTTTTAATGTATTGCTTTTAGTATAACTGTGTACTTAATTTTTATAGAAACGGTATTAATCACAACAGTTTCTTAGTCTTTTCGGCGTGTTATGAATCAGCTGACACTTTTTGTGTGTAGAAACAGAAAGGCTATAGTTGAAGTTGATATTATTCATACAAATACTTAAGCATTGATACGAGGCTCGGTGATCTTATGAGTTCCCGTGTCATGCTTCTGATACATTAATGATAAAACATTTCCTGTGGCTGTTTGAATTTTTTTTCATAACTTTAACATTTCCTATGATTCTTCTTTGTTGCAGTCCTCTGAAGATAGTGCAATTGCCATTAGCAACATTATTCGTCAACACGAGACTGAGTACATAACATCTCTTGAGGTTCAAAATACACCAATTTCTCTAGTTAATAGCCGATGTTCAACTTTTTGGGCTCTTCACTAACAAATTTACTTCTGTAGGCATCTTATTCAAATTTGCCTGATACCACTTTCAAGGTACTATTAACTTCCATCGAGAATGAAATTAAATTTATTATATTTGTACCGTTCAACATATTCGAACATAATATGTTCATTATGAACATGAAACACATTCGCAGAAGAAAAATTGTTTCTTTACTATTACCTTACCCCAAAACATCTTTGTAATTGATTTCAGTACTAACCTTCAAAACTTAATGGATGTGATGCAGGATCTTCGAAGAAAGCTTCCAGTTACGCGCACCCTGTTTCCGTGGCAGAATACCTTGCAGTTCAGCTTGACGAGAGACATCACCAAAGAACTTGGCATCGGAAAGTGAGTTCACCATTTCAAATGAAGATGTTCAACCAAGAGAGCGAGTTTCTTCCCATGCAGTCGTACTTAGGGTTTGCCTACCTATGATTCTTCCCCTTTGCTCGTTTCCATTCTGAGTCATGTCTCCGCCATTGGAGCTTCTCTCCCTCAGTTTTGGTGCACTGTAATATAATTGTTGTTTATGTTGTGTATAGTAAAAGGGTTGTGGCTGTTTCTCGTTGTGTTATGAACTTGTCAATGCGGAGGACGTTGCGGAGTTTGTATTTGTAATTGTTATTAAGAGTGGCTTAATATGTGTATTGGCTTCCTTTTATCAAATCAACGATGTTTGTTTCAACAGTACATCAAAGATGTGTACAAGAAACTCAATGGGATTGTTGAAGCAACAACCTGAAAAGGAAAAACCAGAGCGGACAAAAAAAGCCGCGCAAACCACATCACAAATCTAGCATAATTTGTATTCGGTTTTTTTTTTTTTTTTTTGGGCGGGGAGGGGGTGGGGGAGAGTTTTCGAATTTAAGATGCATTAGAAACTTAACACTTTATTTACTAGGATATTGGATTACATGCGAAGTAGGGCTGTTCGTACACGGAATGCCGATATACTCTAGTTTTCAAGCACGAGGAAAACTTCATAGGGCAGTTTTCACATGGAATGACACTAGCATGGGGTCCCCTCGGGGGGAGGGGGGGTGTCCTTAACAAGTTTTCAAGGTGTATCAAAACTCGTTGAGTGTCCTTAACAAGTTTTCAAGGTGAATCAAAACTCGTTGAGGAGTGTCTCATACTTTATAAGAAGTGCATTACAAATGTCACGGTTAAAATGTCTCTATATGAAATTTTCTTATCAAGATATTAGAGCACTTCCAGTGTAGTAAGACCCCATAGGCAATAGGCAACTCAATTCCCTTAAATCAACCGTAACAGTCGTGAATAGTAACTACTCAAGTGCATATCCACTCATAAACTGAATAGCCCAGATAATTTGTATTAAAATATTAGTATTTTTTATTTTATAAAATAGTAAAAGATAGCTTTATTTTTAATTTCGGATAATCATAAAAGATTAGTTAAAAGTATTTAAAAATATTGAAATGTGGTGTAAAGTGGAAGAACATGGTTAGGGATTTATAGATTTTTTTTAATTATAATTTTTAATAATTTAAATTGTGGCTGACATCATGATGACGTCAACCTTAAGTCACATAAGCAGGGTGCTGGACTAGACGATTATTGTCTGACTTCTTCATCAGACTCACCTTGAGCCCAATTACCCGAGTGGGTTGGAGTGTTTTGGAGAGGGAGAGGAGTGGGTTGGGTTGCCTATCCCCAGGGTAATAAGCAACGGTAGAATTGCTCCTATAGAGCGGCGTCTAGACCACTTGAGAAGGGTAAAACTTCCCTTCAAAATCATAAAAAAACATATGAAGAAGAAAATTGAAGGAGGAGTTTTGGGTACAAAACTAGGAGTGGGCAAACGAACCTTAGACGGTTATACCCGTCGCGTTTTATTTTCAAGCGGATATGATCTGGTCCCTTCAATTTTAGGCCCGCCCCGACCGTGCACACCAATAACAATAAGTGATGACTCATAAGTGCGATTAGGTCAAAACCCCGCGCTAATTAGTTGTCTATAATATCTATATCACTTGCGAGCCTTGGAAACAACTGCTCGCCGCAACGTTTTTCTCGTTAATAAACTTCCCCTTTGATTATTCTCTCTGAGAAATTGTGATGGAAGAAGATTGGGTTGCAGGGCAATTTCTTACTTATCGGCGTAGAAACTGGTTTGTATTTGAATTTTAGGGTTAGGGTTTTGAATTTGATTCGCTTCTTGCTCAAATTTTGAAACTTTGGTATTGTATTTGAATTTTTGTTTTGTATTTGTTCTGATAGTGTTGTGGTTGTTGTTGGCTTGATTGCAGCTTCCATTTTCTCTGCTTAAGTTAGTGCAGGGCCATCATTTGGTTAGTAAAGTGAAGATCTTTCTCTCAATTTTACTATGTTTGGTTGCTGAGAAAATGTAGGAGGAAAATCTAATTTAAACAAATAGAATAGACAGACTAACAAGAATATAAAAAAGGAATATACTTGTCTACCGATTGGTAACTAGCACTCAGTTGTACTCTGAAGAGATTACGGATTAGTTGGTGGATTAGTAGTCTGCTCTGTTTCGTAATCGTGGGGATTTGATTCGTTGTAGTTAGGTTCTTCGGGGTTCAATCAAGTATTCTCTTTGTCCCTGATGAGGTATTTCTCGTTATTTTGTTCTTGAGCATATTCAATCTGTCAATGAAATGTTTCCCTCAGCGTCTTCTTTGAATGCGTCTTTTATGTTGATCTGATTCGGACTCCCCCGATGTGTGTTGTGTTCTGGTTTGAATTCATGTCTTTTGTGCGTGTCTAATTTTCTCTGGGATGATGCAAATTAGCCAAATCATACGTCGATGTGCTCCATAAGGCATTTTTTTCGAAGCGCTTTGCCAGTCTCTTCCATGGACTTGGCAAGGCTTTAGAAATTTGCCTTTTGTAGAAGCGTATCTATCTGATGATACAATAGAGATAGGGTTCCTTGCTGACCGGAATTTTCCTCTCTTGATATTCGATTTCATAATCGGTTCTTATTGTGTCACTTTTAATTGTTTTTAGTTTCGTTTTGCATAAGTATTTAAAACAACTGTATGTATCGGTACTGCAGTCTGAACTAGAGCTCGTTGCCATCACCATAGCCATCGGATATGCTTGGTGAAAAGAGGCAGACGTTGATGTGTTGAGGATTCAAAAGCATTGAGCATTATTCGAGAGATGGTGCCACTGAAAGACATAGTGCCAGCAGCACAGAACAACATAAACACGAGGTTCATACTTTTGGACAAAGGCATCGTCAAAACTACAACTACTACTTCATCACAAGCCCAAAACAAGACATGCTTGGCGCTAGTGGCGGACGAGACTGCGGCGGTTCACTTCCAGCTGTGGGGGAACGAGTGCGACGCCTTTGAGCCCGGTGACATCGTGCAGTTGAGCAATGGCATCTTCTCTTACTGCAGGAACAACCTTTTGCTCAGGGCAGGCAAGAGAGGCAAAATTGAGAAGGTTGGGGAATTTCTGATGGCATATGTTGAGACGCCGAATTTGAGTGAGATTCGTTGGGTTCCTGACCCTAATAATTCCAAGAAGTACATTCAGGAGGCTGTGATCTCCCCACATTCTCGTATATTTCCTCCCAAATACTGATCCATGAAGAAGAAGTTCTGTATTGAAAAACCGCAAACGCGAGTGTAGTCATATTGTCTAGAGCTGATGTGTTTTTTCTACCAAGAGCGGCGCTAGAAGTAGAAAACTACATAGGGGCCGGCTAATTTCGTTTACTTGTAGTGTGAAGTGAAATTTAGGCGTTGTGGGCGATGATCTCCTTGTTCATATGAGGAGAAATGCTTGAGGATTTGTGTATAGTGATTGGGTTTGGTTCTGCAGTCATACCATTGCAACCAAATCTGTTTTTTTTTTTCATTTCTTCTTAATATTTCGTAGGTATTTTAAACATTGTCCACGACATTCAGAAAAAAAATAAAAAATGCAAAAATTACAATATTTAGACTAATAATTTTTTTTAATTAATCATGGTTATGCTCTCGGCCTGAGAGATTTTTAGAGTATCCAGAACATAAGACATTATACTGATATGTGTTCGGAATATATAGAAAAATCACTAGACCTAGTTTAAAATAATAATAATAATAATAACAGGGGAATATATTGTCACATCTCAATGATTCAATCAACCACAATGACCTAATGGTAAATTACAGATTACGAGGCTTCTTTAAAATTAAAAACTAAAGGTCTTGAATTCAAAACTCGCTCCAAGCTTGTGGTCAGAGAAGGCTGAAATGCTTTTGTGAGTCTTTTCAGCTCTTGAAATAGGTAGATAACTGTGACTTGCTACCAATTTTTCCTCATTTAAAAAAGATTCAATCCTATGAGGGGCCAAAATGCAGTTTATGGATATCCTAATCACTTGGTTAGGAATCAGAACCGGCGGCCCCACATGCGACTTTCCATGCAATCATCAGTCTATATCAGCTCATCACCAAAGACAGTTGAACACGAACCCACAAAAATGGCTGAAATCAAAGCAGATACGAGCCACCACCAGAGTCTAATCGTGTCGGAACCCGATGTTTCCGACCCCAAGCCATCCAAATCGAAGCGCCTCGCTTCCCTCGACATCTTTCGTGGCCTCACCGTCTCGGTAGGTAGTTAATTCACACTATTTTTTTACTCTTTTTACTTAATTCACTGTTTTACCTTGTGCGTTTTACCTTGTGCTTGAATGATGTAGTTGATGATTCTGGTTGACGATGCGGGTGGAGAGTGGCCAGTGATCGGTCATGCGCCATGGAACGGCTGCAATCTTGCAGACTTTGTGATGCCCTTCTTCCTCTTCATTGTGGGCATGTCCATTGCTCTTTCTCTCAAGGTTTGCTTTCCATTTCTTTCTTTGTTACTTCTTCTTTTAATTAGGCCGATTACTTATACTTCTGCTTATAAGCACTTTTGGTAGAAGCACTTTTATTAGAAACACGTTGAATTTTTAATTTAAATTAGGGCTCGTTTGAAAGTTTTCTAAAATGACTGAAATAGTTTTAGAGAAAATGTTTTTAGGTTTCAAAAAGCACCAGTTATGTTCTTTTTTCCAAGAAGCATCAATTATGTGCTTCTTCCATTAAGTGCTTTTCCAGGATTTACTTGCATTTTTACAAAGGATTGGTTCCAAAAACGTTTTCACCAATAGCGTTTTCAGCTATTTTAAAAGCACTTCCACACGATCTAGCAACTTGTGCTTCTTCATAAAGTGCTTTTATGACTCATAAGGCCTTTAAGTTTTCCTACCAAATACCGTTAGAAGCGCTTTTACTTGGCAGATTGTACGTTAAGCTCTTCGAGGAGCAGTCCCAAATAGGAATTCAACTAGATGATAACACTTGTAGGGCAGTGTGACGACCCCTTGCACCGAGTTTGAATCCCCCTCTTTTTTTCTATATTAGACTAGTTTAGAATATCGCATCGTAGGAAATGATAACATAGCGTGTTTTTCTTATAGAGAATACCGGACCAATTTGTGGCTGTCAAGAAGGTGATTCTTAGAACTCTGAAGCTACTGTTTTGGGGTCTCCTATTACAAGGTTTGAGTTCTTCCTTTGAAAATGTGATGTCTTTTTATTTGTTGGGTTCATTATTTACTTCATTGTCTTTATAGTTTCTAGCCTTGCGCGAAAGCAACGTTACAATAATGTGCTTAAACACTTAAATAACTAGTTAGGGAATTCAATGCCAATCAAAACCTTGGTTTTCGTATCATTGTCAATCGAATGATACTTTCTGTGTGATGCATTACTTTATTTCAGACTTGAAATTACCAGGTGATTTGAGAAACTGTTGATTGCTTTTGTTGTCGTGAGGTGAACTGGATGCCTACAGTCTTTAGATATTAGCTCAGGTGGCGCTTAGTAGTCTAGAACATGTCGATGCACTGTTCAAAACTTATTTCCGCTTATAAGTAGTCCCAGAGGTCATTGACAAGTTAAATCCTGAGAACAGTTACCAAAACTCTTTCGCGATAATGTGGCAAACCCTACTTTTCCGTTCTTACATGGACAATGACACGCATAACTTTGATATGCTGTGAAGGAGGTTACTCACATGCTCCTGACAAACTAACATATGGTGTCGACATGAAAGAATTAAGGTGGTGCGGTATTCTCCAGGTAATTTTGCTAATCGTACACTTTTATGCGGATTTATATTGATTATGTACGTTGAACATTGAGTAGTTCTTGTTGCTTCTTGTAGAGAATTGCTCTTGCATATCTGGTTGTGGCACTGATTGAAATTGTATCGAGAGGTGCAGAAACCAAAGATATGGCACCCGGCACATTCTCCATATTCAAGTTGTACTATTGGCACTGGTAATTCTATATTTCTATAACGCTATAAAGTGTGTTTTTTTATTTTATAGAATGATGACAGAAGAATTCTTCGTTCCAAAATTTGTAGGCTTGTAGCTGGATGTGTTCTCGTTATTTACTTTGCTGTGATTTATGGGACATATGTTCCTGATTGGCAATTTACTGTCCAGGACAGAGAGAGAACCGATTATGGGAAAAGTTACACCGTAAGCCTTTGATCCTCAAATTATTTCTAAATGATAAGCACATCTCTTAAAATTGTTTGAGAATTGTTGAATTTGGAAAATTTGGATGTGGTAGGGATCTAAAATATGAAATTACAATATATTCTGCTTTGAATATTCTTTGTCGTTAGGTAGCTTGTGGCGTGAGAGGAAAACTAGATCCTCCGTGTAATGCAGTAGGATATATTGACAGAGAAGTGTTGGGAATCAGTCACATGTATCAGCGTCCGGCTTGGAAACGATCCAAAGTATGTAGTTTAATCTTTTCCTTGATTGATCATTTATATGATTTTCTGATCAAGAGCTTACATCAGTGCCAGTTTTAATGTTTAAACTTCTTGACTTTGAAATTCTGCAGGCTTGCACTGAGAATTCCCCCTATGCAGGACCATTCCGAAATGATGCCCCATCATGGTGCCGTGCTCCGTTTGAACCTGAAGGAATTGTAAGGTATTTATAACCCTTGACTTTGTTGGATTTGAACCGCTCGGTCCTGTACTAGTTTCGGACACTTCAGAGATAATACCAGGCCTCTGGTACCAGATAATCCGATAGATGTTAATACTGAGGCACTTTTTAGAAGTTTTATGTGGATTTCTTTCCACCTGCAGCTCTATATCTGCAATTCTCTCCGCGATTATTGGAGTGCATTTCGGACATGTGCTTATACATATGCAGGTCAAGTCTCTGATTCGTATATTTGGTGCTTAGCATGTGGAAGACTCTAACTCATTTTTCTTGTCTTTCCGGTTACAGGGTCATCCAGCCAGACTGAAGCATTGGGTTCCGACAGGCTGTGCTCTCCTTGCCCTGGGAATTATTCTCCATTTCAGTCATGGTGAGAACTGAGGCGAACTGGCGAAGTTTATACAGCGATTGATGTGTTTACCAGTAAGTTATTCTTTCTAATGTTTTATTCCCATTGCAGCAATTCCTTCAAATAAACAGCTGTACACATTTAGCTACGTATGCATAACATCGGGAGTGGCAGCCTTGGTGTTTTCAGCCTTCTACCTTATGGTATATTAACTCTTCTCATGTGGACTTCATAGTTCTTTCCTTTTTCTCATGAGGCCATAAATTTTCAAATGAAAGATTAACATCGCCTCCCTCCAGGTTGATATCTGGAGCATAAGGTACCTGTTCCTGCCGCTGGAATGGATCGGCATGAATGCTATGCTCGTCTATGTCATGGCAGCTGAAGGCATCCTCGCAGGATTCGTTAACGGGTGGTATTACAAGGACCCCCATAACACGCTTGTATGTTCGCGCACCATATGTTTTTACCTTCATATTTTTCCTGCAATCGCCATGTTTTGTGTTAAATTGTGTTGAGTTGTGGCGTGGCAGGTGTACTGGATTCAAAAGCACGTCTTCGTCGAGGTTTGGCATTCGAGGAGAGTAGGCATTCTACTCTACGTCCTCTTTGCAGAGATCTTGTTTTGGGGCATTGTCGCCGGCGTTTTGCATCGGCTGGGCATATATTGGAAGCTTTGAAGTTTGAATGCGTTGTTAGTGTCTGAAGAAGTGTGGAAGGTTGAATAATTAGCAATTTACCATGAAATATTTGTACATATCGTTGGATAGCACCGGGCCACTGCCCCTTGAATTGTAAATCTTCTTGTAAACATAAGTGTCGTCGTATTGACGAGGGACTTGTAACTCAAGTGGTTAATAGTATTTATCTCATCAGCTAAGTGCTAGGTTCGATTCCCCTCACCCTCCAATTTCATTTGTTGTAGGTTTTTTACCACCCATGGTTTTTCATTTTCTTTTTATAGTTTTTTACCACCCGTCAAATTTTTCATTTTACACTTTTGATGCACGGAGTTTCTAGGAGTTTCTAGCATGATTAAGAGCTTATTTTGCCTTGCACTCGAGGTCTTAAAAGTGCGAATATGATTCTCTTATCTCTGGACATCTCTAATATTAAAAGAAAAATAATAACAATTTGAACATCAAGTAACACTAAAGTTATTAATTGGTGCTGGAGCATAAGATAAAATAGGTATGGCAATCCCTTGAGGAAGATCTTAAGTTTGAGCCTTGTGAATGGAGAAGCCCGCATTGGAAGAGTTTGCCCCCCAAATGGGGTCCGACCCGACTCATACGATTAGTTCTCGCCTATGTGTGGGGATACCCTAGATTCATCCAAAAAAGTAGGTATGGCATTTGAAATATGTTCACCGCGGTTGGTATCCTCCGATGGAGCATCAAACCTTCAAGGCAAACTATCTAAGTAATTTAGTCAGTTTATACTATATTTAGGGCCTCGTATTTGGACCTCGTATAAATACTCGAGAAACTTAAATGTAATTATGTAATAAAGGAAGGGACAAATATGTAATTAGGAGATGAGCCATTATTCTATAAAAGGACATCATCACCCTCGCAAACCCTAAGTCTCTCCTATCTAGAGCAAAGCTCTCACATCACACTCTCCCTCACTTCTCAAATAAATACAATATAATCAGTGTGGACGTAGCCCAAATCTTGAGGTGAACCACGATACATCTTGTGTTATTTATATTACTTGCAGATTCATGATCGTATTTACGTTGTTCCAAGACCTCCGGTTCTGTGCATCAACATTTGGCGCCGTATGTGGAAAACGATACAAAAAATTGTGTCGATTCTCTTTCATTTTCTCACATCCACCGTGAATCTGCAAAATCACAAAAAACCAGAAAGAAAAAAGAAACCTACTTCGTGTCTACCTTGTTTTATTTTGTTGGCAATCTACTCTGTAGATTTCAATCACACAAAAAAAACAAAAACAAAAAAAAACCCAAGGAATCAAATCTCTCCTCTCTCTGTCTTGTAGTCTCTCTCCCAGAATTTTCTTGTCATTCCTCACTCTTTCTCATCCACCAAAATGCGTGAGATTCTCAGATCTGATTTCGTTACGATCCGCCGGAGTTTCAACCAAACAGTCGCCATGGTAGTCGGCGCACATCCACAGCCGCAGCCACAGCAGCAGCTACAACAAAAATTCGCCACACCTTGGCACCTCACTCGATACCCGTCGTACAAAAGCTTGCTTCATACGAGAATCCGCCACACCTTGGCACTTCACTCGACATCTGTCGTACAACAGCCGAGTCGAACAGGCAGTATCGACGAGAGAAGTGAAACTGAGGCGAGAAATCGAGAAGCAGAGGTACGAGAACGCGCTGCTCGACGAGAAGCACGAGTTCGAGCGGCTCGAGAAGCTCAGAGCAGAGAAGGAGCTCAGGCTCAAGCTCTCACTGATCAAGACGGAGGCGGTGAGCGAAAAGAACCACGGCGAGGGCAGAGAGGAAATTTTGGAGCTCCGGACGCAGAACGAGGAGCTGGAGCGCCGCATTTCGCGGCTGGAGAAGGGCGGTAAGACATTGAGGAAGAGGGGTTTGAGTAACAGCATCCAGAGAAGAAGGAGCTTCGTCTCCATCTCTGCAGAATCTCTCTGCTACTGCTCTGCAGAATCTCGCAGTTCCAACGATACCGCCGAATCAACACGGCCCACCAAAATCCCCAGTACCGCGAAGCAGCGGATTTCATTCTCTCCGAGGCCGCAACATAATAAAGGAAGAAAAGTCAACAAGGAGCAGCAACATAATAATAAAAGGAGAAAGCAAAAGCAAAAAATGAAGGTGCAGGGGAAAAGAGAACGACAAAAGCAAAAGGAAAAGTACAGCAGAAAAGAGAAAAGAGAAAAAAAGAAAAAAGACAAAATTATAAAGTTCCTATTATTACGATTCTTTTTTTCTACAGGTGAAGAGCCAGAGTGTGCGACGATGGAAAGCAGAAAGCAAAAGTAAGGAATAAATATCCCATTAGAATGATATGATTGTTGTAAACATTCCTAGAATAAGTATGATTGTGTAAATCCTAGATTAGATTTAATTCTAGTTATCCTTTCCTATTACAACTTGTATTACTTGGAGGAGAAGGAATATCTTCTCTCCCTTTACTACTATAAATAAAGGCACAATGTAGGAGGGATAACAACACACACATTCTTCTACAATTCTACAAACACACATCTCTCTTCTCTCTTTCTCTGCCGCCGGCCCTAGTCTCTCTGTCAGATAAAATAGACCACAACACGTTATCAGCATGCTCCTACCGCTGCGCTTAGGAATCTGACGTTGAAGAATTTTTCTGCATCAAACCAGTTCATCCATATCATCACGCAATCAGGTTCTTTCCAAACAACGGTTTTTAACTCGATATTTTGCAAGCCCTGATAGCATGAACATTCACCATGATGCATGACCCAACTTTACGTTTTACGTATTTTAGATTCTACATAAATTGTGTATGCTTCATAATCAAAATTGCTACGATTATGTGAATTTGATATTTGTCATGAATTGAATCTTACATATGTACATGCATTGAAACTATTATTTGCATATGCATCAATGTAAATATGTGATTCATTAAAATTATACATGCATATAATATAATTGAATTGAAAAAAAAAAAACACATTTTTTTTTTTTTGCGATTGGGACCTGGGTTCTTTAGAATCCGTGACCACCATCCTGCAGATGGGGTCTCCACGCAAGCAGAGAGCATGCAGCTCTCCTTGTTCCCAGAGAAAAAACCCACGAAGCCAAGCCCCAAACCCAAAATCCCAACACCCTTCCTGGTGTCCCCCGACCATGGCATGGCCTGCAGCCACAGCCTTAAACCTTTGGTTCATATTCTCGACGACCTGAAGTCGTCCCATGTCGACAATTGAACCGAGATTCAACGGAATCTCGTCGGAATTTTTTTAAAATTCGTTTCAATTTTTAGGGTTTTGATATCATGTCGAGATTTCATCTCCGTCGATGGATACTTGGTTCTCCGACGAACCATGGCTTGCACACACCAATGACAACCACCTGCAATGGCGCCGTCCTAGTTTTTCCGGCCTTCTTCCTCGGCCACGCACACCCAGCGCCGCTGGGTTTGTTTTGTCCTGCACCCCAAAGCCCTAACGGGCTCCAGCCTCTCGGCCCGTGTGACAAGAAAAAAAATAAACAAATTTTTTGCTGGGCTCGCTTAAAGCGGCCCAGCCCGCAAAGAAAAGAAATTTTTTTTTTGATTTCCTGGGCGCACCTGCAGCGGCCCAGACCGAAAAAATATTTTTTTAGTTTTTTTTTTTCGGGCCTGCTTATTGCAGCCCGTATCTGTGAAACAAAAGATTTTTTTTTGCGCTGCACACAGCAGCCCATTCCCTCTTCTCACCCCGTGGGCCTGCAGCCTACACCCGAGGGTTCTTGGCCTATATTTTTAAGCCCCGAGATTTTATTATTTAATACTTTTAAATAATATGGGTTTTTATATTTTCACCCACACTTTACTTTGGCCCCGAAGACCAAAAATAAATTAATTCAATTATCATTATACAATATTTTTGCATATATTCTTTGTATATTTGTTTGCATATATATTTGTGTTTGCCTGCAGGAATATATGAACCTGAAGTTTATAATTACTTTGAAACCCGAAGTTTCTTATAAACATGCCTTGTTTGAAAACCCGAAGTTTTCTCTTAAACATATCACCCATGAAAACCCGAAGTTTTTCATGCAAAATTAAACCAATACATGTCTATTAGAACCTATATGTTCTACTTCTATGTGAATGGATTGATTTTTTTCTCCATTACACTAACCACATCTTGTCCATCTATTTTGTGATAGGAACATGTCGAATTTGAACAAACTCGACTTCACCGCTTTGGAGGTCTCTGGAAGGAACTACCTCTAGTGGGTTCAAGATGTGAAGCTCCACCTCACTGCAAAGAACTTGCATCCTGCTATTGAAGAAGCAACGGATGCACCTGTTGGCGAAGCTGAAAAAGCCACTACTATGATCTTCATCCGAAGACATATTCATGACGCTCTGCAAACTGAGTACCTTGTTGAGGAGGATCCACGTGCATTATGGGTCGCTTTGGCTGATCGTTTCAATCACCAAAAGGACATATTCTTGTCTGAAGCAAGACACGACTGGCAGCACTTGCGCTTCCAAGACTTTAAGTATGTGAATGAATATAATTCTAAAGTTTGTCGAATCCGATCACTTCTCAAGTTTTGCAATGAAACTTTGACTGAAGAGGATCTCCTGGAGAAGACCTACTCGACCTTCTCTGCTTCTAATATTGTCCTGCAGCAACAATATAGAGCTCAGAAGTTCACTAAGTTCTCGGATTTGATCTCTGTTTTACTTCTTGCTAAAAAGCAGAATCAGCTGTTGATGAAGAATCATCAAGTTCGACCTACTGGGGCTACTGTTGTGCCTGAAGCACATTATAGCACTCATCAGCACCCAAAACGCCAAAAGAGGCGTGGTAAGGGCGGCCAGAAGCCATCCTACCAAGGTCAACAGAGCCAAGGCCCATCCAAGGGAGGAAACAAAGCCCAGAAGCGCCCAAACCTCGCTCCCAAGGCCCCGAACTTCAAGAATAAGGGCAAAGCACCTGCCACAATGAATGACGATATGTGTTATCGTTGTGGTTCCAAGGACCATTAGTCCCGTATTTTCCGTGCTCCCAAGAAGGTTGTAGATGAATATCATTCTCGTCGTACGAAGTTTGAATCAAACTTCATGCAAATGGACGAACCGAAGACTACAAAGATTGAGGTTTCTGACTTTCAGGAGGATACCACTCCTATAGAAGATTAGAATCTTAGACATAGACTTATTTTTCAGTTAAAATAAGACAATTGGGGCCGAATTCCACCAAGTGGCCGAACCCCACCTTGTTTTTTTGGTTGATTTTGAACAATTTTCCTTTATGTTTTGGATTATTAGTTGGCGATTTATTTTGGATATTAAGTTTTTAATCCTTGAATAAATGAAATTATTTTGAATTGATACTTGTTTTTTTATAAACTTTTATGCATGTGACCGATTCAAATTAATTTCATTCTAGGTATGACTAGTGGGAAAGTTAGTTGTCTGGTAGATAGTGCAACCACGCATACTGTTTTGCGTGAACGCATCTATTTCACTAACTTCGTACCTAAGAATGCACCTCTGACAACCCTCTCAGGCCCATCCAACCTGATAGAAGGATACGGTAAGACACGTATAATGTTGTCTAATGGTACAATCTTGACCATTGCTGAGGCACTCTATTCTCCACGTTCCGGCAGAACGTTACTAAGTTTCAAGGACATTAGAGATAACAATTACCACGCTGAAACCCACGTAGAAAACGGAGTTGAATTTCTGTGCGTAACTTCCTACGAATATGGCCAGAAACGTATTCTAGAGAAGATGGAGCGTAACCCGAGTGGTCTGTATACTACGACCATACGCCCCATCGAATGCCACTATGTGGCCGGCCTTACCACAGGGACCGCGCACGAAATTACATTTTGGCATGATCGTTTGGGACATCCTGGACGAATAGCGATGCGCCGTATCCTCAAAACTTCACACAGGCATCCACTAACTCGAAGCTTAGGTTCGATCCATGAAATTGCATGTCAAACATGTTCTATGGGAAAGCTTATTACTAAGCCTTCTTATAACAAGATTCGTTCGAATCCTCCCATTTTTCTACAACGGATTCAGGGGGACATTTGTGGACCGATTCAACCTCCCTGCGGACCACTTAGATATTTTATGGTTTTGGTTGACGCTTTTACACGTTGGTCACACGTGTGCTTGTTGTCCACAAGGAACGTTGCATTCTCCAAACTGTTGGCTCAGTTTATCAAGCTCAGGGCTCACCACCCTGATTATCCGATCAAATCTATTCGATTGGATAATGCTGGAGAATTCACATCTAAAACTTTTGATGACTATTGCATGTCGGTTGGGGTTGAAGTTGAACATCCTATACCCCATGTTCACACCCAGAACGGCCTGGCAGAGGCTTTCATTAAGCGTTTACAAATGATTGCTCGATCGTTGGTCATACGTACCAAGCTCCCGATCGTTGCTTGGGGCCATGCAATATTCCTTTCAGTTGGTCACCGGATGCGAACCCGACATATCGCATCTGCGCGTTTTTGGTTGTGCGGTCTATGTGCCGATTTCGCCGCCCTTACGTACAAAAATGGGGCCTCAGCGAAGGATGAGAATCTATGTCAGCTATGATTCTCCTTCGATTATTCGTTACTTAGAACCTTTGACAGGCGATCTGTTTACCGCTCGTTTTGCGGATTGTCACTTCTATGAGACAGTCTTCCCGTTGTTAGGGGGAGATAAGAATGTCAACGTTCCTAATGAACGACGCGAATTATCGTGGATGACTCCCACTTTGTCTCATTTAGATCCCCGCACAGCTCAGTCTGAAGCTGAAGTGCAGCGCATATTAGATCTCCAGAGCATAGCTCAGAGCATGCCAGATGCTTTCACCGATCTAGCGCGCGTGACAATATCACATATTCCAGCTGCGAATACGCCTGCAAAGATAGATGTACCAAATGTACGACAGACTACCCTCCTGGAAGCCCGGGACGCCAATTCTGGTGATCCACGTACATTAGCGGCTAGCCAATCATCTGCCTCTACACAAAAGCGTGGCAGACCCCTTGGTTCAAAAGATTTACACCCCTGGAAGAGGTAGAGCTGATTGGTCAAACTGGAAACAAGCAATCCAAGTTGAACGTGATTCACTTGCGAAACGTAAGGTGTTTGGACCTGTAGTTCCTACTCCTCCACATGTGAAGCCCGTTGGCTACAAGTGGGTTTTCGTTCGGAAGCGTAATGAGAAGAACGAAATTGTGCGTTACAAAGCTCGTCTTGTAGCACAAGGTTTCTCACAACGCCCCGGAATTGACTATGACGAAACTTACTCACCCGTTATGGATGTGATTACTTTTCGATACCTTATCAGTTTGGTAGTTTCCAAAAAACTGGACATGTAGCTGATGGACGTAGTAACCGCGTATCTCTATGGGGATCTTGATACGGAAATTTATATGAAAGTTCCCGAATGACTTACATTGACTAGTTCAAATATTTCCCAAACCCCGGAACACGCTCTCAATTCGGCTGAGGCGTTCACTATACGGTTTGAAACAATTCGGAAGAATGTGGTATAACCGTCTGAGTGAGTATTTAACTAGTTAGGGATATGTGAACAACGAACTATGCCCTTGTGTGTTCATTAAGAAGTCACATTCCGGATTTGCGATTGTTGCAGTATATGTCGATGACATGAATCTCATCGGAACTCATGAAGAGCTCGCGAGAACTGCTTCGCACCTGAAGTCGGAATTTGAGATGAAAGATCTAGGAAAGACTCGATACTGTCTCGGTCTCGAGATAGAGCATTGTTCAGATGGAATCTTAGTACATCAATCGAACTACACCTAGAAGGTGTTGCACCGTTTTAATGAGGATAAAGCGAAGTCTTCGAGTACTCCTATGGTCGTTCGTACGCTAGATGCAAAACGAGATCCCTTCCGTCCGAAGGAGGATGATGAAGAGATTTTGGAGCATGAAGTTCCTTATCTAAGTGCGATAGGCGCTTTATTGTACTTAGCTCAATGCACTAGACCCGACATCTCCTTCGCTGTTAATCTTTTGGCAAGACACAACAATGCACCAACACGCAGACACTGGACTGACGTGAAAGACATCTTCAGTTACCTTAAGGGTACTACGGATTTGGGCTTGTTCTATCCCTACGAATCCTCGAGTGATGCCGCACCCTATGCTCATCGGGTTGATTCTCGCCTTGTTGGTTATGCCGACGCTGGATACTTATCTGATCCGCACAAGGCGCGTTCTCAAACGGGTTATGTCTTTACCGTTGGAGGCACCGCAATATCTTGGAGGTCAACTAAACAGACCTTAGTTGCCACTTCGTCTAACCATGCTGAAATTCTCGCCTTACATGAAGCAACTCGGGAATGCTTTTGGTTGAGAACAGTAGTGGGCCATATTCGAAGCTCTTGTGATCTTCATCCCGCCGTTAATGCCCCGACGACGATTTTTTAAGACAACGCAGCTTGCATCGAACAGCTCAAGAAGGGTTACATCAAAGGAGACAGCACCAAGCATATTGCGCCGAAGTTCTTCTTTACACATCAACAACAAGAGCATCAGAAGATTGAAGTCACGCAAATCCGATTACAAGACAATCTAGCCGACCTCTTCACCAAATCACTACCGAAGGCGACGTTTCAGAAGCTTGTTCATGGAATTGGTATGCGTAAACTTTGAGTTGTAACTTTGCTATTTCTCTTTGGAATTATGTCAAACTCAGAGGGAGTATCTTCTGGATACTTGCTTGATCTTAATGTACTCTTTTTCCCTACAATTAGGAGCATTTTTTCCCACTGGGTTTTTGCTACCTAACTAGGTTTTAACGAGGCACCCACCTTGGGCTGGTCATATCCCTGATGACGTCCTGTAGACGTTTCTTTTGACGTTGCATTTCTCACGCATTTTTCCTTAGACTATGGATTTTGTCCCTACTCGAGTTTTTGCCATGTTTTTTTTAGTGAGACTTACTACTTATGCAAGTTCCTACCTTATTGAGAATAAGCGTTGTTCCTTGGAATCAGTGCCGACGAGTCGACTTCCTCAACTTCTGCATGATGCTGAATCTACCTTGAGTATTTACACACTCAAGGGGGAGTGTTGTAAACATTCATAGAATAAGTATGATTGTGTAAATCCTAGATTAGATTTGATTCTAGTTATCCTTTTCTATTACAACTTGTATTACTTGGAGGAGAAGGAATATCTTCTCTCCCTTTACTACTATAAATAAAGGCACAATGTAGGAGGGATAACAACACACACATTCCCTTATAATTCTACAAACACACATTTCTCTTCTCTCTTTCTCTGCCGTCGGCCCTAGTCTCTCTCTTAGATAAAATAGACCACAACAATAATTTATTTTTCTTATCTCTCATAGATATCTGTATAAACCCTATCAGAGAGTAATAATACTAAAATGATTTATTACTACTACAATCTAATAATATCTTTATTTATTTGTAAATGAGAATTTTAAGTGTGGTTTTCGTCAAAGTAAATTCGAACTGCACTATTTCTCGTTCTGACAGCAAGTCCACCGCCGAACAGTTCACACAAAAACCTTTTTAGTTGTCGTTTTCGTTGGAAAACAAAAACAAAAACCTGTACTCTTTCCCAGCTCTCTGTGAAATCTGCCGCAGAAAACTCTCTCGGTTTCTGAAGAGTAATCGGAATCCGATGGCGAACCTCATGGTAGAGGACACGACTTCTGAGGACGATCAGCTCGCCGCGATGACGACGGAAGACATCATTAGAGCAACTCGTCTTCTCGACAACAAGATCCGCGTACACAAGGTCCCTTCTTTTCTTCTTTTTCTCTCTCACTTTGGCACTTGTTGTACTCTAGGGTACTACTGATCGGTGCACAATTGGGATGAAATACTTGATTTTGATTTTAGAGTTGATTTATGATTTGGGTTTCCGATGGATTTGTTTGGGAAATTTTGATTTTTTAGTTGGATACGTTGGTCGATGCTTTTGTTAGGTGGGTTTTTTTTCTTCTAAATTTTGGGGATTTGAGATTTTAACATGTGAATCTTTTACCTTTTTTTTCTGGGTTTTTGTTTGTGGGATTGAAGGAAGAAATGTCAAGAACAAATTTGGAGCTGGACTCGTACAAGGAGAAGATAAAGGAGAATCAGGAAAAGATTAAGCTTAATAAGCAGTTGCCCTACTTGGTGGGCAACATCGTTGAGGTATGTGTGTCTTCTTGTATTCTCAATTGTTTATCTTTTCTTTTCTTGTTAGGGTGAGTGAATTTGAGGTCGGTAAAGTAACTCTCTTTAGTGAAAATTAGAATACGCTGAATATTGAGAATCGAACTGGAGTTAAAATGTTGTACTGTAGTTTAGGGTTTACCTTGTTTGAGTTAAGAATTCGCGGGGCAAGCAAAGTTGATAATGGAGTCACCCTAGCTTAAATATCTCAGGAATGGAGGTACAAATGATGACTGTTACTAAAGTCTGTGGACTTGGGGAGTTCTATTAGCCTTACGCTCTTATTGGGTTTTTTATTCTGTATCTTTCAGATTCTGGAAATGAACCCAGAAGATGAGGCTGAGGAGGATGGTGCAAATATTGATCTTGACTCCCAAAGAAAGGGAAAGTGTGTTGTTTTGAAAACATCTACTCGCCAGGTAATCCAGCGACTAATGCTATGCACTTATTTACTTATACCACCAGCAAAACAAATTACTGCAGTCATCTGCATCATTGCTTTTCTTTTATTGGTGAATTTTAATTGTGTGATATGTGTTTACGGCTAAAAGAGACTTGTGTGAAAATCATATTTGATGCATTATTCAAAAGCAAAATTATGGGGTTTTGTTTTACTGCAGACAATCTTTCTCCCAGTTGTTGGGCTTGTTGATCCTGATACCTTGAAGCCTGGGGATCTTGTTGGTGTGAACAAGGATAGTTACCTGATCTTGGATACTCTTCCATCCGAGTATGATTCTCGAGTAAAGGCTATGGAAGGTTGACGAAAAACCAACTGAAGACTACAATGACATTGGAGGGCTGGAGAAGCAGGCAAGTTTCATATTTGAGACATTCTCTGTTGAGGCGGTCATGGTTGTTCTTAGATACCAAACATTTGAATTTCGTACGCTAATTTGTTTTTATTGAAACAGATTCAAGAACTAGTTGAGGCGATTGTTTTACCCATGACCCACAGTGAGCGTTTTCAGAAGTTGGGAATTCGCCCACCAAAGGGAGTGTTATTGTATGGACCTCCTGGAACCGGTAAAACTTTGATGGCTCGGGCTTGTGCTGCTCAGACAAATGCCACTTTTCTGAAACTGGCTGGTCCCCAACTGGTTCAGGTATACCATTATTCGATACAGTTATCACGGATACCTTTTTTTAAGCTAAGTATTTATGTATATGTTGATTTATGTGCATGTTGAGCATTGAGCAGCCGATATTCTAATGGTTTTGAGAAATGCCACTTAAGACATTATTTTCATAGTTGAATTTTTTGCATTTTGGCATAGCTTTTGTTGTTGCTCTTATTGCTCTGAGTAGACAAGGATTGTCTGTTTCTTAAATTTATAATGCCCTTGTATGCACTAAAGGGTCCCATGCCCTGAAGAATTTATTTGTTTGTGACTTTGGGTTTGCTAGATTTAAAGTAGCTGTTTCATAGATTGTCCTTTATTTTACCTGTGTCGTATAAGGAGGGAATTGATCCTTTTGGGTACGCACCTAGAGGGTCCTGCATCCTGAAGAATTGAATTATTTGTTTGTGACTTTGGGTTTGCTAGATCTAAATTAGTTGTTTCTTAGGTTGTCCTTCTTTTTACCTGTTTCATATTAAGAGGAATTGATCATTTTGGGGAGATGATCTCTGTATTAACAAGCCCTTTATCTTTAAACATGCTCAACTTTGTAGGATGTGAGTAAACTTTGGATTTGTAACTGGGTCTTTAATGAAGTAATCGTACTTGTAATTGATGTAGATGTTTATTGGAGATGGAGCTAAACTTGTTCGCGATGCCTTTCTGCTTGCAAAAGAGAAATCCCCCTGCATCATTTTCATAGATGAAATTGACGCAATTGGCACGAAACGGTTTGATAGGTAAACTATACTTCCTGAGCAGTCATTTGAACTAACAAATTTATCCATAGATATTGTTTCCCATTTTGATCACTCCATTCTTTCCTGTTTGAAATTTATGCTCACTTTTTTTTATTGCAGTGAAGTGAGCGGGGATAGGGAGGTGCAGCGTACAATGCTTGAGTTGCTAAATCAGCTTGATGGATTTAGTAGTGATGACCGTATCAAGGTTTGTTTCCTTGTCTGCAATGTATTTGCTTTTCCTACAACTATGATTCACTTCACAGTACAAGGTGTTCGAGACTTTTGAACTTCAGTTGAATCTTAACATGTTCCATACTTTTAACTACTGGGAATCTAGCATGTAAAATTTGATAGTGGTACCATTCTTTTGTCTTAAATGCAGGTGATAGCAGCAACAAATCGTGCTGATATCCTGGACCCTGCTCTGGTGCGTTCTGGTCGGTTGGATCGTAAAATTGAGCTTCCTCATCCCACTGAAGAAGCAAGAGCTCGGATTTTGCAGGTTTGTCTTTTACCATTGCATATGTTTTGTGATTACTTTTGTGCTTGGTGATAACATTGTTATTAAAACCTTTACCTCAATCCTGTAGATTCACTCAAGGAAGATGAATGTTCATCCTGATGTCAATTTTGAAGAATTGGCTCGCTCGACCGATGACTTCAACGGAGCACAGCTAAAAGCTGTTTGTTTGTGTGGAGGCAGGCATGCTAGCTCTTCGCCGTGACGCGACTGAGGTGATTCTCTCTCTATCACTTACTGCATACGTCTACTGACTTGACTTTGTGGGTATACTTAAAAACCTGCAATAAGACGTGCGGTAATCGTAAAGTTTTGTTTTGATTCTACTTCAGGTGAACCACGAAGACTTCAACGAGGGGATTATCCAAGTTCAAGCGAAGAAGAAGGCTAGCCTGAATTATTATGCCTAGACCGAACGTTGGCGCGTTTTCGTTCGGAAAAACCAAACCCTCCTTTGTGTATTCATCGTTGTAGTGATATTTGAAATCTAGTGAAAAGATATTTAGGTCTTGCTAGGAACCCGCTACTGGTCAGCTGCTTTCCCCAGTCGCTCCTTGTGTAACTGAAATGTTAGTTGATGGGGAAATACCTCTTTCTGCATGTCATATCTCTAATTTTCATTGCTTATCTTTGAATCTTTGGTGGCCTCTGTTTCCCTTCAGATTTTGCAAGAATATGGTTTACCGCTTCTGTTTAATGTGTTGCAGGAATATGGTCTTTGAAATATGTTACTGTGAGATTTTTTAGTATGTCGGGAACACGATCTGATACACCCAAGTACTCATTGAAAAATTTCTCGTTCACCGCAGTTTCTGTGTTCCCCATCCCCTCCCGCATGTCAACTGTTCAAGACTATTTGAATATTTTAGTTTCATTCCCAACACATAATTGCATTATTTGTCTGTTTTTCTCTGTTTTTTATTTTATTTTTTTATTTTTTTTTAAGTAACCTTGAGGGTACGAGGGAGACTACATTTAGGAGTCATAGAATTACAATCATCATCAAAAGAGCGACCCAAATTATATTTGACGACCCTTCAAACCATTCAAGCACAATTCATTAGTTCAAGAGAATTTTGTCAAATGATGTGTGACTCTATTACTTTCACACAGTGTTCTAAAAAACGTCCTAAGCGGCCGCCTAAGCGCTAGGCGCCTTGGAACCGAGGCGATTTTGTACAAAACGATTGGAAAAATCGGGATGGGTCTAGGCGGGCTAGGCCGTTGGGTGGTTTTTTATTTTTTATTTTTTTTTTTAAAGTTGTTTAAAGTCTAAGTATAATTATACCTTGAAATTTTGTTAATTTTATAGAATAGGTGTGTTGTGTATCAACTTAAATTCCGGGATGCTAAAGATAAGTATCTTACTTTACTAAATTTCTTTATTTTCCTCCTATTTTCCATTTTATGTTGTTTTAAATTGTAAACTTGTTGTACATGCGTCATTCTACAATACTTCTCACTATGGTTGTATGGCATATATGCTTAATGTGTTTTTAAATTTTAGACTTGTTGGATACTCTTTTTGCATTTTATCATTATTTTATTATCTTATCCATGAATTTCATACAAGTATAATTTTTTGTAAGTGTCAATATGCACTTATTTACAAGATATACAAGAAATTTACCTAAATCCGCCTAGGCGCTAGCCTGCCTCCCGACTAGCGCTTAACGTTTTTTAGAACGTTGCCCTCACATCGAACAAACAAGTATTTGTTTCTCGGAGTTGTCTTCAACAGCAACTTTGTATCATATATAATATATTACACATCCCACAAGTGGTGTATCCTCTCCTGGGTTGACTAATCCCCTGTACATAGTCTACTAGTGCGTTTGTTTCGTCGGATTATCTCAAATATTTGTATCGGTTTCCCTTGGATTCCTTGCCTTACAAACTGAATTAAATTTGTTTCGATCCTACTCTCGTCGTTGATCTATTGGGCCGGGCCCAGCATTTATTGTCTATACGCAATTGGGCCCAATAAGAAAAACCTCCCATTTTTACTCGTCTGTTCAGAAAAATCCTTTCTTTAAGAACAAGTAGAGAAGCACTCTTCCTCTCCCCCAACACTCTCTCAATCCGCAGCTGAAAACTCTTCTCTGAGAAGAAGAATCGGAATCGATGGCGAACATGATGGTAGAGGAAACGAGTTTTGAAGATGATCAGCTGGCCGCGATGAGCACCGAAGATATTGTACGAGCCACCCGTCTTCTCGACAACGAGATCCGAATACTCAAGGTCCTTCTTTCTCCCTATCTGTGCTTGCGCTTGTTTAGTTATTGCTTTGATCGATGCAAAATTAGGATGAAGGACTTGATTTTGATTTCAGGGTTTATTTGTACTTCTGTTTACTGATTGATTTGTTTGGGAAATTTTTAATTTTTAATTAGGGTGTGGGTTTTTCTGAATTGGGTAGCTTTGGGATTTTATTATGTGAATGTTTGTGTTCGTTTGTTTTCCTGATTTTTTGTTTGTGGGATTGAAGGAAGAAATGTCAAGAACAAATTTGGAGTTGGACTCGTACAAAGAGAAGATAAAGGAGAATCAGGAAAAGATTAAGCTCAATAAGCAGCTGCCGTACTTGGTGGGCAACATTGTTGAGGTATGTGTGTCTTCTTGTATTCTCAATTGTTTTCGTGCGAAAACCCGTTACATAGACAATTTGGAGAAAGTATTGATTTTTTTTATTAGGGTGAGTGAAGTTGAGGTCATTATAGAAACTCTCTTTAGCAAAAACTAGAATACGCAGAATCTGAGAATCGAAATTGGCATAAGATCTTGTACTATGGTTAGCATACAATCCAGTTGAACTACACTCTTTGAAACCATGAAAGAATTTATTTTTTTGAGAACAGGATATGGGCCAATATGGCTTGTTTGAGTTCCAATTTTGCCGTGTGAGCAAATATCTCAGATATGGAATTTCGAATGATGGCTGTTATAGTAAACTGTAATAAATTGGAGGACTTGGCTCCTTATGTATGTCATTGCAACACGACATCTATTTCCGCGCAGTCCTTTTCTAATTTTAGTCATATAACGAGTCTACAAAGATGTAATTTAAATCTTTACTAGTTATTGTGTGGTTGTTTTTCATTTAATATTAATAAGAGTGTATTGAGAACTTTAAGCTCTTTTAGTTGATATTAGTATGTTGGTGGTGTGTGGGAGGGAGTTCTGTTATCCTTAGGCTCTAATATTCTGTATCTGTCAGATTCTGGAAATGAACCCAGAAGATGAGGCTGAGGAGGATGGTGCAAATATTGATCTTGACTCCCAAAGAAAGGGAAAGTGTGTTGTTTTGAAAACATCTACTCGTCAGGTAAGGCTGCATACTTATGTTATAATTTTATCCCCGAATGACTTTGGTGACTTTATCATTGATTTTCTTTTTTCTGATATATGTGTTCTCGGTTAAAAGAGACTATATAGGATGCATTACTGACAAGCCAAATTATGGGTTTTGCTTTACTCCAGACAATCTTTCTGCCAGTTGTTGGGCTTGTTGATCCTGATAAATTGAAGCCTGGTGATCTTGTTGGTGTGAACAAAGATAGTTACCTGATCTTGGATACTTTGCCGTCTGAGTATGATTCTCGGGTAAAGGCTATGGAGGTTGATGAAAAGCCAACTGAAGACTACAATGACATTGGAGGGCTGGAGAAGCAGGCAAGTTTCATACTTTGGACATGCTATTTTGAGGCATTCATGGTGTTCTTAGACTTAGATACCGAACATTTGGATTTTGTACCCTAATTTGTTCTTCAATGCAACAGATTCAAGAACTAGTTGAGGCGATTGTTTTGCCCATGACCCACCAGGAGCGTTTTCAGAAATTGGGGGTTCGTCCACCAAAGGGAGTGCTATTGTATGGACCTCCCGGAACTGGTAAAACATTGATGGCTCGGGCTTGTGCTGCACAGACAAATGCCACTTTTTTGAAACTAGCTGGTCCACAACTGGTTCAGGTATAGCATAATTCAATATGATTATTACTTATACCATTTTTTTTTTTCCAATTAAGAATGTGTGTTGAGCATGGGTAGGTGTTTTCCTAATGATTTTGACATACTAGTGCATAATAGATTTGTTTGTATACTTTGGGGTTCGTTGATTTAAATTAGTTGTCCATAGATTTTCTTTCGTTTCACCTGTTTCTGATTAGGAGGAACTGATCCTTTTTGGGAGAGTAAATAGTCTCTGTAAATGTGCTCAACTATTGTAACTTCAACTATTGTAACTTCATATTTATAACTGTGTCCTCAACTATTGTAACTTCATATGGATGTAGATGTTCATTGGGGATGGAGCAAAACTTGTTCGCGATGCCTTTCAGCTTGCAAAGGAGAAATCTCCCTGCATCATTTTCATAGATGAAATTGATGCAATTGGTACAAAGCGGTTTGATAGGTATGCTATACTTCTTGAATTCAATTTCGTGGATATCCAATTTAATCATTGCATTCTTTCTTGATTGAAATATATTCTCTCATTTATGGTTACAGTGAAGTGAGTGGAGATAGGGAGGTGCAGCGTACAATGCTTGAGTTGCTTAATCAGCTTGATGGCTTTAGTAGCGATGATCGAATTAAGGTTTGTTTCCGTGTCTGCAAGTCTATTTGCTTTTCCTGCAACTAGGATGCATTTGGAAATACACAGTAGATGTTCCAGTTCCAGTACTTGGTTGGTATCTTAAATGCAGTTGATAGCAACGACCAATCATGCTGCATAACCCAACTTCGTTTTGATGACATAACCAACTTTGTTGTCTTAATGCAGGTGATAGCAGCAACCAATCGTGCTGACATCCTTGACCCTGCTCTTATGCGTTCTGGTCGGTTGGATAGAAAAATTGAGTTTCCACATCCCACTGAAGAAGCAAGAGCTCGAATTTTGCAGGTTTGTATTTACAATTGCATGTGTTCTGTGATGACTCTGCGCTTGACAACATTCTAATCTATTACTATTTTCTTCTTAATTTTGTAGATTCACTCAAGAAAGATGAATGTTAATCCCGATGTCAATTTCGAAGAATTGGCTCGCTCAACCGATGACTTCAACGGAGCACAGCTAAAAGCTGTATGTGTGGAGGCAGGCATGCTTGCCCTCCGACGTGATGCCACAGAGGTGCTTCTCTCTCTATTAAACTGTTCATACTAAAAAAGGACAGTGATTTTCACTCTCGTTTTCTCCTTTTGCACTCTGTTTGCATCTGTCCCTTTGATTTGATTTCCCGTATTTATTCAATCCAAAAACTAGGGGGGGGGGGGGGGGAGAAGAATAGAGAGCAGGGGGAGAAAACTGGAGTTTGAAAATCACTTCCGTACACGAATTTAGTCATTCTACTAGTTAACTGTGTGTTTGCTTAAAAATGTTATACGAAGTGTACTAATCTCGAGTATTTGTTTTGATTCTCCTCCAGGTGAACCACGAGGACTTCAACGAGGGCATTATCCAAGTTCAGGCAAAGAAAAAGGCTAGCCTCAATTATTATGCCTAGACTGAATCATTTTATGTAACTTGTTTCGATTTTTTTCAACAGACTTGTGTAATTTGCATCTCGAGTCGTCGTATTTTCTGTATTTTTTCTTCCTTTCTTTCTGTATCAAGTAACGGATAGGCCACTGCACTAAGCAGCCATTCTGCTGTGATACTTGAAATTTAGTGAAAAGATATTAGATCCTTTTTCTCGAC